CTCTTTCAGACGTTTTTGAATGTGTACCACAGAGAATCCAAAGCATGCACACTGCACAAAATTAAAAATATATGCACAGTAGTAACTGCATTTTCAAATACCTTGTGAGCTTCCTTCAGATAAGCAGATTGATACTTCATCATTCCTATCATTATCATCCCCCACTTCAGTAGCAGTTTCCTCTCCTGGATTAAGTGCTGATTTAGAAACAAATTCAGATTGATCAGAGAAATCAGCAGGACCTCCTCTAGGGGGTGGGACCTCAATCCCCATTAAACGATATTTCCGTCTTCGATTCCCAATCCAAGTCTTGTAAGAGAAATAAACATGAATGATATCAGAAACTATAACAAAAGCAAAAGGCCCAAACCCAAGTGAAATTAGCACATCTATACTACAGCAACAAGAACGTAGCCAGCAACTCAAGGGAGGTGATTATTCCCCCCTATTTGACCCTCATGAGGCTGCTTCCCGGAATATCGTGTCCAGGTTCAGTTCTCCAATACAAGGGAAAAGGGGAAGGTGCCCAGCAAAAGTAAAAGAAGCAACAGTCACGAGTTGCAGCAAGGGAAGCTCTGACTGGAATTAAAAGAAAAAATAACACTTTACAGTGAAGCACTGAAACAGTTTGTCCACAGGAGTCTTGGCATCTCCAACCTTGCAGGTACTCAACGTTTTACTGAACAACATCCTGAGAAACCTGACCTAACTCTGAAGTCAATCCTGCTCTAAATAAAGAGTAGGACCAGGTGACCCTGTAAGGTCTCTCCCCATCTAAATTATTCAATGACTTTAAAATAAGGTCTTGATCTTCTCCCACTCTGTAACTTCCACCAGGGGACTAAAGCACCCAATGATGCAAACGGCCCACCTGTTCCAGGACTTCCTACAGCACAGAAGAAACTGCCCAAGCTGGCAGCTCTACACCACTACACTTTGAAGACAGAACAGAACTTGGCAGAACTAAGTTCAAAGCAATACTATCCTCCAGTCCTCTTTGGTTGGAAGACAAGTCTTTAAGAAAGATTGCTTGCAGTAAGGTATGTAAGAGCGTACTGTAAACAGTGGTAGGGGGAGATGAAACAGGTCCAGGATCAAGGAACTTAGAAACCCATTCATCATCAGATGGGTATGGATGCTTTAGGTTCATTTTACATCAATAAATCTGATAGTTTCAAAAAGAAAACAAAAACACATTCAAAATTCTCCAAGTGTATCTGTGTAACTGTTAATTAACTTGCTCCCTCTGATAAAGAAAAGTCTACACTAAAAATTATTAAAAACTCAGAGCAGAGTTTAACACGAGGTAATAAGCATTGTCTGCTGCTCTTGACCTCTTTACTCTCTGCCTTCCTTTGCATTACTCGGGCTTTTGACTTCTTGTCCAATTTCATTTCTGCTTAACAGCTCTTGTACCCAGACACTTCATGCCATCCAAGTCAGCACTCCACTGGCATTCAAAGCTCCTTCTCAGAGCCAGGAATCAACTTCTCTGCCAACTGCTAACTTCTAGTCTTGACCTGCCTCTCCTCCTCCTTCCACACCACGTCAAACACAGGAGGAGCAGCACTGACAGCACTAGTGGGACCATCCTCATTGTTTCAGGACCTGACAACACACCGGCCCAGGAAGGATAAGGGTGGAGTTTGGCCACATGAGCTGCCACCACACAGAGTCTGCTTGATTACTGGGATGACGATGTATGTGCAGCATGGTCGTTATCAGATTCTGAAGCATGCTTAGTGCTGGAATTTCTGGATTGCTAAAAATCAAACATAGCTCTAGAAAGCACTGGCAGTTCCTATTTTTGAAAACATATTATCACGGCATGGCAAAATGCACATTGCTTTCATAAGGTCTATGTTCCAACAGAGTTTACCACACACGTTAAAATGTTATAGGATTTTTTTCTTTAAAGATAACACTAAACAACATTTCTCTGGTTTTATGTCAGAAATACCTGCATTATTCCTCTTCCTGGTCACACTTTCTTTAACTACAGTTCTAGCAGATAGCATGAAAAAGTTTAGTAAAAATGTTTTGGTTTATAATACCTTGACTATCAAATAGAAAAATTAAGAAATATTAACAGCAGTCACAACTATTAAAGATAGCTTCATGCTGTGCCAGCTTTGAAAAAAATTTTTTTTTAAAGCTGAATCTCTTACCTAGCTGAAAGATGACATGCTTAACACTATTTTTGGCAAATCATTTCTGTGTTTTGCTTTCCCAGCTCGCTGATTTTCCTCTCTGAAGAATGCAAAACAGAAAGCTACCTAGATATTTTTGTACATCATATACAGTTTTGAAAAAAAAAAAAGAAAGAAAAAAAAAGAGAAGTGGCCCCTTCCAGACCTCTTTCTCTTTTTTCCAACCACTGTATTGCCATCCTTTAAATTTTCTCATAATCTTATGATGGTAATGAATAGTACTAACAACTACAAAATTTAAAAGCTAATCTGCTGCTTTTTTCTAAAACATTTAGAAAAAAAGATTGAGGTACATGGGAAAGGTAGACCTTACTTGTCTCTACGTATCCTTCAAAGCAGAAAATCTTTCATTCAACATACTGAACATGCCATAGAAGATGAACATATCTTTATAGTGTCTCAAATTAAAATGGGAAAGAAAAGTAATAAGCTTCCATACCCTGTATGCTACATTTAACAGTGACTATTCTGGAGCGGTAAAATGATGAGTGTAAAAGAAGACTTATTTCTATGTAGGAAACCAGCTTAATAATTCTAATTATATCCCTAAAATATTACCTCCTTAAGAACTTCAAACAACATCTGTAAAGTGCATGAGATGAGTCTCATTAAGCCAGCAAGGAACTCAGCAGCCACTTCCCCAAGTTCAAGTGAACAGATGACCAGCAAGAGCGAGGGAAGAAGGGCTGGAGTCCCAGCAGAAGGATCCAGCACATGTCTGCCCTCAGGCAGCTTCTAAGTAAGTGGACTGGCAGAGAGCCACTTCAAAAGCATGACTACAGCTCTCCAGATATTGAGGTTAGGGTGTCAACCTGCAAGAAAGATTCTAGGTTGGAACCTTCAGAAATCCCACTTAATCAAAAAAATAAAGATGAAATATTCTGAGCTGTTTTTCCAACGTCTCTTCTCGGTCGTAAGCCAGATCTAGACGAGGCCTAGAGCCCCCAACAAGAAGAGCTGTTGGTCAGCTGTGAAGAACGAGTGGCCTTTCCACTGCAACTGCTCGGTTTTGTTGCTAAACTCAGACTGAAGCACCACCTTCCGTAACCCAGCTTTGATCTGATGAGCTGCCGGGAAACAGGAGGAGGTGTGTGCTTAGCAGTAGCTTTTGACCTTTTATGAATGAAAAAAAAAAGAAATTGTCATGCATTTTTCTTATATTCCTCATATTTTCCTGAAGAGCTTGATGGCTGTCATTCATCTTTCTCAAATATCTTGTGTCTCACTGCCAAGAAGGCTATTTTGCTTTCAGATGCTATTTTGGTATGAATGAATAAAATTAGTCAAGAGAATGATCAACAAAAATTTGGAAGTAACAACAAAAACCCCCAAACAAATGTAATCAGCAGTAATTACAATGTAAGCAAAAGAAACATTATACATTTAATGAAGTGCTGGCCAGAGTTCGCATATTTAAAGATGACATAACTCTTTTTTTTTGGTGTCGTAAGAACATCTGAAAGATATCTGAGGGTGCAAACGTGATGTTAAGGTATGACCAGTAGACATTTCATAAGCCCACTCTCCTACTAGAAGCATGAAAACTATGGAATAAAATGCCCTGTTTGACCTCAAAAGATCAAATCCAGTGGAACTACGCATAGTGGCAAACATCTTTCCTTGTACCAGAAAACAGATTTGATACTTTCTTTGTACTGGAGATCTTTCCAGCCAGTATGGGTCATAAGGATCAATCACTTGTACTCCTGGAATGGCAACATTTATCTGGACAAATCATGAATTTCTATTAAAAAAGCTACTAAAAGGGACAAATGAGGACATGTATTGAACTAAAACAAGTGATATGATATGTATATATAAATATTTTACAGATACATATGTTTATATGCATTTATATAAAATTATACTATTTAAATAATACATTAATATTTTTTGTGTATTATTTGATGTATATATATTTACTTTGTTTTATATATATACATACACACACATACTTATTACTATTTATTTTTTTTTTTTTAATCACAAATGGAGAAACAGTTGCTACTTGCACACTACCTGGAATTCAAGGCACAGTGAAACACAAAGGAAGCATCCCTCAGTCCAAGTCTTCTTGGCTGGGCATGCAGTACAGGGTAGGGATGCCATGGTTGGCTCTTGTCCTACAGCTGACTGCATCACTGCTGTGTCCTGACTCCTTGTGAGAAGGAGACCACACTGCACACTAACCTCCAGACATCAGTGCCTCCTACTGACGAAAATGCAGGTTGGTGGGTAAGGAGAGAGGCACAATACAATGTGCCTATATAGATCCCAAAACAAATTTAGGACAGATCCTCTAGAGCACATGATGGAAAATACCTGTCCTACAGCTGGGACACACACAATGTGCCTTAGAGAAAAGACAACAGGAAGCACTGAAGATCACACATGTCCTGTAGCATTAATTCAGCCCTTACAAACAACAACAAAAAAAGTGCAGCATGGTGCAGGATCAACCTCCACCTAACTCTTGCTACAATTCTCAGGTCCGCCATATAAAGGAACCAGAGGCAGAAGTGAGACAGACACTGGTAACACCATCAGTTACTATGAAGAAAAGAAAACTTTTTGTTCATTTGTGCGTCTGTGTTCTAACATAGGTTATGCCAGAGAGTCTTCTGGAGTTGATCAGAGCCTAGAACATCTGCCCTGAAGACAAAAGCATTTCAAGCAGATGTTGCTGAAAGACATGTACAGAATTTCACACTGTCACCCCGTGTGTGCCAATAAGGATGTTCTTAAGGGAACAAAGTAAGGGAAGCGAAGGATGAGTGTCTTACTGTCCTGTCAATGAGGTATTTCATATCCAGGAGTCCACTTTGAGATGCTGTCAGCAGAAATAGCTTCACCTTTCAGAAAGCAAACCAAAGAGCTTAGACAATATGGAGAAACTTTGTTCTCTACAGAGAAGAGAGTAATTATTCTCAGCCTCCAAAACTACAAGTTCATTTTTTCGTAATTCACATGTGCTCAGGAAAACAAGCGAGTAAATAACCAGGTTAGTGTTCAATACTGAAAGTAACTTTGGTCTCATTTTGATACACCAATCCCAGAGAGATTTCCACAGAAGAAGAGTTTCAAATCAGGGCTCCTAGTTCCACTTTTGTAGCGATGTCAGAATTGAAAGAAAGAGGTGGAAAAAGGGGGGATGAAGGCTGAAAGGACTAGTCAAAATTGTCTTGCCCATTGTGAGGGAGAGGAAGACTCTAATCATTTTTTGGTAATGACTCTGAAGACAGACAGACTATTTTCTGAAGAATGGAAACATCCTGAGCGAATGAGACATCCACAGTTTGAGAGTGATGGCGTATGTTCCGTAATAGGGAATATAGTGGGAAAAACTGATGCTGCAGCAAACTTCCCAGCCCCTGGAAGAGATGATGTGGAGTGGTTCTCAGGAATCAGGTTATCTACACCAAACCTGGGCTTTCTAAAGCAATCCTTCCTCAACACCACCTATCACGACCATCAAACTGAAGCAACCCAGAATTCTTTGCAGTACCCTTTGCCCTCTATCACATCTCAATCCAGCTTCAAAACAAACTTGTATAATTTTTTTTTCCTATTTTTGAGCATTTTCTTCCATATGTTTACAATGATTTTTCTCTTATAAGCATTAATGAGAAATATTTCCCTGGTATCTTTAGAAAGGCTTTTTTTTTGCTTCTTAATAGCAGTATAAATAGCACTTTTCAGTCTTCTAGGATACCCCTAAAAAATGCAACACTTTTACTTAAAATCTTACTCAAGTCTAAAGGGAATGTCAAACGGCTCGTAGTGCTACTCCTGCTGCTGATCAATAAGACTCTTACCTGAGGGCTTTTTTCTATATATAGACTGCAGAAAGAGCAAGAGAGCACTTCCCAACATGGTCATTCATTATGTAATATGTGAAATCTATTTCAGGCTGTCTCATGAAATTTTTAAAGGCTTTCATCTGTCCTATTTTTGCTTCTGCGACAAGACAGGGGAAGACTCTAGATTTCTTACCCGCACTATTTCACAGTCAACATTTAATTCTGCAGCCACAGCTTCAATTTTCTCTCTGCAGACTGAGCCCAGGCTGGTCATGCCATTGTCCCAGTATTTCTTTAGGGTAGCTAAGTCTCGGTCACTAAATTGTGTGCGGTCCTGTAACTGTAAGATAAAAAAAATACTGTTAGATGAAAAAAAAATTCTGCTTATGCTGTTCATTTAATTTCCAGAGGTCTTGCATACAGTAAGACACACGTTACACTGTCTCCATGGCTTTTCTTCTTTTAACTCTCCCTTAAGAATTTATTTTTTTATGTTTTTTGTGGGTTTTTTTTTTTTTTTAATCCAGGGCAGTACACAGTTCCCTGGGATTTGCTTTAAAAGCAATGGCAGTGCTAACGCGAGTTTAAAGTGCTTCAGCTTTGTTTCAACCCCACCTGGTTTTCTTAATTTGTTTTATCTCATTCTGTAAGGTCTTACTGAAAATAACTTTTTTCCCCTTGTGCTGTTTACTCTCTCCACCCAATTTATGCAAATTATTCCTTAAGGCTTTTCAAGTTTCTTACCCTCCCCCACCTAAAGTTCTTTTATCTTACTGCAAACTACAACACATGCATAATTCAAAGGATTCTGAGTTCCTAAAGGGAATACTTTAATGTTTACTTGGTAAGCTTCACAGTTTAAATTGGTTCCACTGTTTATTTGCGAGTTCCCTAACTTTTTATGTATATTTATCAAAATATGTGACAGTGGATTACTGATATAAGGAGTAACACTGAGAAACAAATCCTAGTCATCCTACCACCTCTTGAACGATTGTGGGCATACAGTATCATTTGCTACAGAATTTACAAGCTTTATCAAAAGCTTTTAGCCCAGAATTTTTCACAAAAATACACAGTTTCTTTAAACCAGCCCATGTTTGTCATCTCCCTTGCTATCAGGAGTACATAAATGCACCAGTAATGTTTGCACTAGTAAATTGTAGCCACATGTGCCAAATTTGTCATTATGTCAACAGCTGAATTTTGAAAGACATAATCATGATTTCAATATCTAGAATCTGGGTTTGCTCATTTAAAAACTGTTAAAAGTTAGAATGAAGTAACTTTACAATGGAGTAAAAAAGAAATTTTGCAGAATTAGAATCATTTGGCAATCTCACACAGTTATCGATTTTGATTTTTGTTAAACATCTTCAGAATATGGTAATTCTTGCAATTTTCTTCTTTCAAAAATTGCTGTTTCTCAAGATGTTAGAAGCACTTGAGTCTCCTTAATACATGAATATAAATTAGGTGTATCAAACCCTTGTCTCCTTAAAAATAATCCCAGGTGGTCCAGTAAAAAAAAAATTAAAAATCTATCAGTTATATTCAAATATGGTCTGTTATTAACCACTACCAGGCACTCAAATTTTTTTCTTGGCTATCATTTCATACATGCAAGTATAGAATTAGAGAAGCTGTTTCCATCCTGCCCATCCATGAGCTGACAGCTTTCGCAGGGAGCGCAGGAGCTCCGCGGGGCACTGGGGCAGGTGGCGCGGAGAGCCCGCGGGCACACCGGGCGCCGCTCGCCGCCGGTCCTGCACGCTGCAGCACACGAGATGCACTCCCAGACGGCACGCTGCAGCCTATTTTAATCTAAAAGGAATGCAGCTGGCACATTTCGAGGCTGCTTCAGGATGAGCAGCAAAGTGCAGTAGGTGGACCTCACCTGGAGAGCACCCTGAGGAACAAAGCGAAATCCTTGATGCCCGTTCTCCCTTAGCAGATGCCAGTTCTCCCTGTATGCCTGACCTGAGCTCCTCCTACCTACAAGCCATTTTCAAAGAATAGAAGTTTAGTTATCTCCTGAATTGCTGCAGCAATCTCTCCTTTTACAGCTGTTGGCAAAATAGGGAGCTTCTGCAAGTGACAGGAAGAGCTTTTTCTCGTTCTGCAGTCGGAGAGAGGCAGCCAAGCGCTGAGGGAAGGGAAGGTAGAAAGGAGTGTGATAGCAACGCTCAGACTACATGGAGAAACAAGTCACCCTGGCCCATCCTGCTTTCCTGTACACACAGGTAGCCCAAGGCAACTTCACCTTCTAAAGCATACCGAGTGTTTTTAAATATAAATAAATAACATTCACTGTTGGTTCTGGAGAGCTCACACTGACAACGCTGCTGCAACAATCCACCACTCACACAGGTTACCGCAATCTGCACTTATGAAAAAAATTAAAAGAGAAAATTTCTTCCTATTTAATAGGCATAGGTTAAAGTAAACCCCTGGAACATGCCGTGGAAATTCCCTCTCCCCAGCCAAGGGATGAAATGAGAGAAGCAAAAGGCAATCTGCCCAATATGACTTCATCTGCAAGGGAGCAGCCCCGGTTGTGTTCTCTCACCTAGTTTGTTGCAATGGCCAAATCGGAACAAAAACCAGAGACAGTACAGCTGATGCTGGAGCAAGTTCAGATTTTTTCTGCTTGCCACATGGCTTTCCAGTTATCTAAGAAAATGCTTCTTCTACTGAAAGAATACAGGGCAAGAATACTCACTAACAGAAACGCTTTATACTTGCAATATGCAAATGCATCCCATGTTAGACAGCAGACACAACTCGAGTAGAGACAGAGTTACCAAAGGGATGGTACTGCAGGAAGTAGTACCTACAGAGGCTGCTCAGCTTTTACTTACTAAATACAAGGATTTTAAGTGGAGAAAGCAGCGTTTAGCAAAACCACCTGACCTTCAAAAATTTTACTCAAAAAAGCAGTGTCATATCTTTTCCATTTTATGTGGATATATATTAATTCTGTTGATGTACTACAAATGTTTTCATAAAATTCTTATTAGCTAAAACACTATTCAACAGTTTTCACCTCACAACTGCTACGTAATTTTGCTACAAGACCAGGGTTGTAGAGTCAGTCTCAATATCTTAGATCAAAGTAAATCTTTTAAAGTTATGGGAACTCTCCTGTAGCTACATTCCCACAGAAGTCTTTTGCAGCCTCTTACTGTGGAAACGGAGAGGGGGGAAAAACAGAAAGTTTTATGGTTTACCTCCTTGTCAAAAGTAATCCCTAGTTTTTCAGATGACATGTATTTTTGCTTTTTTGTTGTTGTTGCAGTTACTGCCACACCACGTACTTTATCCTTTCCCTTGTTCCTGCACAGCTCCTGCAGCAGCACATGAATCACGGATACCCATCGCAGGTCAGAGAAGGAAATGGAGAACAAGTTTTTTCAGTCAACTGATATGAAAGAAAAAAAAACAAACCAAAACAAAAAATCCACAACACACACCACATGAAAGAGTCCAGAAAACAGGAACAAAACTGAGGGGAGAAACAAGTTCATGTAAATAGAAGCTGGTAAGAAAAGTCAGGTCCCCCTCAGGAGCGCAGCCTTACTGCGATGCCTGGCTCAATCCATCCCAGCAACTCAGCATGCTCCAGTCAGTACTTGTCATTCCACTGAAACTTTTGTACTTTGGAGCCTGTGTCTCATTTTTGCTGTTTTTTCCACTAATATCCGCACTGAGTAACCTACTGAACACAGCCAAGCAGGGAGGTACGTTTTGGTAGCACAAGTGATGACTGTAATACAGCTGGTTGGTGTTTGCAGCAATGAAAGACAGAATCTATCCGGTTACTGGACTTGAAATTTTACCAGTGCCCCAAAAAAAGATTCTCAACATTTCAGGGCTCTATAGGGCTCTGTGGGGCTCTATAGGGCTCAGTTGGGCTGAGATGTCATTTATCATTATGTCACATGTCATCTATCATTATAGATGTAAATAACACTTCAGCTTCTGCAACATTTAGATCCAGACAAACTACCTTTGGGTACCTGACTGTGCCATATGCCTTTTCATGAACTTCTTAGGGAAATCACAAACTACATGCAATTACAAGATCATCCTCCTGACAAAGATTATACCTAAGTTTGACTCCTCCACTATAAGCTGCTCAAAAATTACATGATGCTTTTACAAAAGTCAATGACTTTCGTGAGAAAATAAGGGGTAGAATTTCTACATTGCACATAAAATTACACTTCCATCAATTTAGTTAATAACTTTCTCATGCTTATTATCATCAGAGAAACTGAGGAAATGAGAGAAAAACCCCACAGTCCTACAAATATCATAACATTGATGGTTATGCATCAGTTAGCATAGGAAAAAATACTAAAAGATAATGCTGAGAGCATCATATTTAGCACAATACTTTCCACGGCTGAACACAAGCCTGTAATTCAGTTCATATTTTTACTTCGTTATAACAACTACTACGAATACAGGTCTCATTTGCTCTCTTCAGATCCCTTGCTTGCTGATTCGGGGCTTGGCTTTATCCTCGGCAGTGTTAACTATTTGCTGAATTCTTTACCACTTCTGTTGGCCACAGTCTGAAAAGCAGAGAGGAGCTTTTTCCAGCAGAAAATGGACTATCAACCCAGAATGAAGAGCAATCCTTAGGAGTAAATTGAATCAGCAGTTGTGCTGAGCGCAGGGTTAAACCCTGTTTATCCCCTGACCTCTCCAGTGTAATAACATTCTTATAAGAGATGACCCAGTTTATTAGAGGCATTCCTGGCACTTTGCCGAGCCCCTCGTAACACCCACCATGTGAGCAATATTTGTGGTGCAAATCTAGTGTCTGCAATAGGTATGAATAATTGCATTGCAGTGGAGTGTCCTTATCCTGCCTTTTATTAGAGTCTGCTTTTGCAGATCAGTTTTTATGCAGCAGTTGAAAATGTTTCAGGCCACATGCGCAAAAGCTATACACAATCTCCAGATCATTAATAAAAGACACATTAAAAATGAAAAAACTAGAGCTTTAATATAAACGTAATAACTATTGCATTTATACTGCTGCTGAGCACTGCATGTTGTTAACAAAAAGTTATGTTTATTTAAATTGCAGTGAAATCATATTAAATCAACAGTTCGGTTCTGATGCTCTGTGATGAAATGTTCTAAGGTAATGGTTATTTCTAGCAAACAAACCTCTCCGCAAATTTTAGTCACTAGCTCTCAGAAACTCTATCATGGAAAAACAGCATGAAATCTCACAGAGTAACACTTGTTTTGTAGATTTTAAAGGTTCTTTAAAGTTTAGTAAAAGCTAAAATAGGACAAACAGTGACACTTTCCTCCAATAGT